CCAACACACACGCATGCACATGGTCAAGGTCGAAGGATTTGCTAAAGTGGCACGAGGAGGCAATTTTTGGTTTAAACAAAAATAAAATCGGTTTTTAAACTGTTTTAAACATGTTTTTTAGAAGATAATTATTGTTCGAGGATTATTCTCCAACTAACCCATCATGATCCATTTTTGGGGGATAAAAAATCATTGGTTTGGGGGGTTTAACCAGTATAAATATTGGGTTGAAACCACCCCTAAAACACATTGAAAATCGACTGCTTCTTGTTTCTCTCTCAAGTTTATGCTTCAATCAAGTTCTTCTACTAACATTCTGCAACTGCTTTGCTTTTGAGTTCGTTATCAAAGCTGTTGATAAACGAAACWCATTGCTGCATCAAATCCTCGGACTTTGCGACTAGTAGACTTACATTAAACTAGAGTGGTCATATAAAACCTTTAAGGACAACTTTTATCGTGCATATTCCGATTTAATGCTAATTCACGAACCTTATTCCGATGAACCTTATGTGAACACAAGATACACACTGTGACACCTACAAACGATATAATTGTGATACCCATATATACATTACAAGATGCATAATGTGATACCATTTGTAAAACAATGAAAATAACGAAAATGCACACAATGATACATTTAATAMAACAAAGAAAATACATTATGATACACGTGAAACATTGTAAACGTTATTTGATTCACAAACGTATTTATAATACAGTACAATACAATACAAAGTTAGCCAATTATTATCGTAGATAACTGGAATTAAAGATTTTTTGTATTTTGTTTATAAATACAATACAATTTATAACTAATCAACCAATAAAAAGTTGTCAAAGAGTCCCAATCTATTTGATCAACCAGGTTTGCTTGAAYGCCTCGGTTAACTCTAATATTTTCATTTGTTTTATTTTATCTGCTTTTTGTTTTATTTGTGACCGGTTAGATCGGGTTATTAATAAACTTAGGGGGTGTTTGTGATTGCTTATAAAAATAACTTATTGACTTATTTCGATGTGACCCCGATAATAAACACTTTTGAGTGTTTGGATAAACACCTTATACCGGTGTCAAATCGGTAAAAAATAGTTTTTGAAGAAGTTAAACCATTCTAACTTATAATAAGTTGATACAGRCTTTTGTAGAAAAACATAAGTTGTTTCAAATTAGCAATCACAAACACCCTCTTAATTTAAATAAAAATGAAATAAATAAAATCATAAACTTCACTTACTATCTCTCTCTCTATATATATAGAGAGAGAGTGTTGGGTTCACGTGATACCAAAAGTTTTTCGTGAGATCCGTAAGACCAATTTATGTTCATTGATCAACTTTATAAACTAATGATCTAATGGTCTAATGTTGTACGGTAATAATTTTGTGATTATTGAGAAGTCTCGTGACGTTTATGAATATTCAAATTGTCATATTGTAGATCTGATCTAAGAATTGAGAATTAGTCTTACGTGTCTCACATGATCCCAAGTGTCTCTCTCTCTCTCTCTCTATATATATATATATATATTATTTTATTTTCAATATTTTTGGTTTTATTTTAGTTTGAGTGAAAATACATTCGTAAGGACAGCCACAGGTATTTGTTGGTGTTTTAAGATATTGTTATATGTGATTTTTTAAGATAAGATCTAAAGTTCATTTCATAATTCGAAACTTTTTAGTTCTTTTTTTTATAACAAACACATAAAAAAGTTATATTTTGAATTTACATTATGAAACAWATATATGYAAGATAAATACATACTAATGAGTACCTTAAATTTTTAGTCGTATATGAACCCCAAAAAAAAAACGGATAATAAAGTATATCATATAGATGTCAAATTAAAATAAAAAATGTTTGCTCTAATTTTGGTTATATTTTAAAGAATACATGATTAGGGGTATAATAGACGAAAAGGAGCTTGCGGGTTATGCTTAAACTTGGAACAAGTTTCATTTTATGCCCTATTAAGTACTACGGTGACTTGGAAGAAAACGTGTGGGTAGGTAAATCGTATATCTYAAAGGCAGATGAATGACGTCTAGWGTCGAACCTCAAACCTCCCACTCATTCTACAAGGATATCATCTACGTTACCTGTTGAGGACCATTCAAAATTGATGGGATACACATGGTCTCCAAGTTGTGCAAGTACATGTCTTTTTTAAGTATATGCTCCCTCCGTTCCAAAATAGAAGTCTCTGATATAAATGACACACGGTTTTAAACATGAACAATGAGTAGATTTTTTAGTGAACCAAATGAAAACTTTACCTTTTGTTGTGTAACTACAGGTATCTGGACCAGCTTATGCTTACTGATTAATCCCCTTGGCGACCACGAATTAACTAGTGTYATCACAGGTGAACCTCCATGTCCACAAGGGCTTTGGCCACATGGGATGGGGGGAGTACGAGTGTAAACGAGTCGAGCTTTTAACTRGCTACTCAAGTTTGTGTATCTCGAGCTTGAGCTTAATAATTTTCGAGCTCAAGTCGATCTCAAACACAAAATAAAAATCGCTTAACTTAATGAGTCGAGCTCTATAATATACCAATGTTCGACTCGACTCCTTCGAAAGCTCGATTAAACTTTATGAGCCGAGCCAAGCCGAACCACTCGAGAATACATTTTTTTGAGCCAAATATTTGTAAACRTTTACAAATTACATAATCAAAATATAAAAGTCATCGAGTTTGAGTAAACAAACGAGTTAATCAATCTTGAACTCAAGCACATAAATGAGCATTGAGCTCGAGCTCGAGCTCAAGCCCCGACTTTGAAAAAGTTAATCGAGCTCGAGCTTGATATTATTTTTCGAGCCGAGCTCAAATAACATGCTACTCGACTCGACTCGACACGACTCGTTTACACCCCTAGGAGGGAGTAATATTARTATACGGAAAATTAACCTCAGTCACAGGCCATTCTCAAATTAAGTGAAACTTGAAGCCTGACTTTCAAAAGGTGGGATTACCCGATACCACTTGGCCAACGACCCTTTGGCATTTGTTCATATCACCATTGGACATAAAGCCGTTGTTTATTCTCCCAAGTGAGGGCCAAAATGGTGGGAAATAAACTCTAGGAGTGAACAAAACTGGTAGTAAGTGTACCAATAACAATTGATGTGCAAAACGCAGTTGTACAAAATTCAAGAGTTTATAAGATCACCGGCTTTGAAACATCTAAGCAGTGATACATTAGGGAGATAAGATTACCTTTATCTTCTGATTCTTGAAACTGAAATCAAACGCCATTTGGKGTTTTAAGGCTCACCTAACGCTACAATGTGATTTTGTCGTCCACCTATAAATCTCGGACCAAGAAGGAAAAAGGAAGAAGAAATTAGATCCCAAGGGGATATTCGTGCTCATGGAATGAAGTTCAAAGCAGCATACGAGAATCTACGAGCTTCGACCATTGTGCGGAGATGAACATCTCGATACTTCCTTGCTGTTTTGTAGAAGCACGTCATGATTGATAGACGCCAATTGCGATAGGTTCTGCATAGATGATAAATATCATACTCCCTCCTTCCATGAAATGTCCATGATTTGACTTAACATGTTGATCAAAGAAATTAYTTGACTATTTATCATATAAACTTCAAAAAAACAAAACAAAAGAACCACATAGGCTGAAGTAAATGCCTACAACCATAAACTAGCCTTTTTTTTTTTTTTTTTTAAAAACCCTGTTGGGTTAGCYTTAAGCTACCTTTTTGAAAAGCCACTTTAGATGTATTTCCATAGGCTTCATGGGCTTTTTTCCACCTTTTTTCTTTCCAATTAATTTATGAGCGAGTCTTTTTTTCYAATTATGCCCCTTACCGAACATGATTGATTTATAGGTCAACACCTAGTTTTTCAGAGCCAACAATTAGCTTATTAGCTAGTTTTCCAAACATAGCCAAAATATCATCAATTGAATTGTAATGGTGATTAATGGAAAATAGGTATCCAACATGGAAACTTCTCCATGGAAAAAAGTTGGCAAAGTTCCATGGGACACAGAGAGCATATACCTAACATGCAATTCAAGTTATTTCTTTCCTACACTTGATCAAGACTTAAAATGCATAACACTTTTTAGAACTTAGCCATAAAATCCAGAAAAAAGAAACATGCTGCTGAAAGTTATATTTTTATTTTACTTTTTATATATAGAAAACACTTGTAGTTTAAGATATGCAGTATAGAAACATGGCAATGCCATTATTATCCTTCCTATGGGTACCTTGAAAGAGAAATTGATCCAGGAAAGATCATCACACGGAGATGCTTCAAACTCTGCAAGATCCCCGCATACATCCATCTTCTGGGAAAGGAAAAGAAGACATGGCTTTAGTGCCAAAACAATCTGCAGGAATCCTGATAAATAAACAAACTACTGTGACTGAATAAAGAGGTCAGTCCACCGCCTGTCTGTCTTCCAGTTCCTTGACTCCCAAACCTTGGGTTAAAGATAGTGTTGGCTCGAAAAACAATTTTCACAAACATGTGTATCTTTTCAGGCCAAAAGTTGCGTTCTTCTATATTCACCAYATTGGCGGATCCATAATTTTTTTTCAGTGGTAGCACAAAATAATTACCATAATATAAAATAAAACAAAACACAATCAATTTTTTTTTTTTTTACTATAGTTACAACTTACAAATTACAATACAAAATGCTAAGAAATTAGTTCCAATTTCAATTATTTATGGTTAGGGTTTCTATGTTCTACCATTATTTACCATTAATACTCCAATTTAAGCTTCGATATGATACTTCAAATATTTATGGTTTCACCCAACAAAAAATATGATTGCACCATCGGAATCTACACGTGCACCACTTGAGTGGTTTCACGRTATCCCACTGGCTAAAAGTGGGTCCGCCCCTCATTCACCATGYGCTAGTCTTTCTCCATTTTACCTGATTGCTCACACTCTTGCACAAGCCGGGCGGAAACAGCCGCTCTACTCTTTAAAGTAGAGGTCAGGTCTGCGAACATCTCACCCCTCCCAGACCCTAGTGGGATCTAGAGGGTCAGTTTGGTTTGGTTTAAGTTGTGTTCTTCTATACTTTGGAACACCCTTTCTTTCATCACTCTTCTACACTTATTTTACTTGTCTTTTTGGTTGGGTTGTAATGAACATATTGCACTTTCAGTCGAAAACATGCTTCTGATTCATGAATGATTGAGTACTCATACAGCTGTCTTTTCTTTAACCTGAGAAYGCACAATTTCAGGCAAACAATTACCACTATGGGATTGCATCACCATGCACTGCTTTTCAGTTCCTTTTACGATACTCTCTCAGATTGGGGCTATAACTAAATGACCTCCTATGGCAGTCACTTTTACAGACTAACCTTCTAGTGTATTTTCAAGATTTTACGGGAGCAGAGTGTTTTACACCAGAGGCTCTAAAGGTCATTGAGTTAAAAAAAAGTATTTTAGAAGATCTGTTCCTAATTGAAAACTCATTTAAGGTCATTATACTAAATGAACCCTCAGAAAGAAGGATGTGGTTTTGGGGACGGAAAATCCCCCTTTTGAAATGAATTATTCCCAGTAAAGGACTGCTTAAACGTCAGGTTTTCAGGGCCACAGCTTGTCACAATTCAGGAAATTGGTGCCATATACAAACAAGCGCTGAAACATGATAACAGTCGGATCGAAAAATGGTCTACCTCTCTTGTGTCTGAGCAGAATTCGGTTGTGTCAGAAGCTGCATCGCTGCAGTCTTGATCATCAAGTGTTCCGCTTGAACTACGACTATGTCGTGAAACAAAATAACTGGTATCATCTATACTATCCGGCTGTGGTACAAAAGCGACCTACATGCATATGCAAATTTAGTAACACAAGACTTGTAACGCAAAAAATATGCATGGCAATAGTCACGATATACAGTACACCTCAGGTGAGCATGAACGCAGAAATAACTCAGAAACAATAGCATGGGGCTCGAAGAAGGAGATTGCAGGTTCCAGAAGCTAGATAAAAAGGAAATGGGGTTTTTGCGCAAAGTGGAAATGACCCACCTTTTGCATAGCAAGGGTATCCCAGTTTACACCTCTGAAGAATGGGTGTGCTTTTACCTGTGAAACAGGGAGATTAAGAGCCCGCTTATGGTAAATAAGCTATAACAATCGGTCGATAACCGACAAATATCTGAACTAAAAATCCAACCTCTGACGATCCATGTGCTCCTAGACGCTGATTAGGGTCATGATTAAGAAACCTAAAGAAAAATATCCATTTAAATGAGAACAATTACTGTGATCTGGCTGCTGTAAATAGAGAATAAAGCAGATATCAGCCAAATACSTTCTCCATCCAATCCTTGTAGTAGATCAAAACATATATCAAGAACATTGAACAATGAGATAATATCATATAGACRCTATGTACCAAAAATTAGACATCACAGTTCAAGAAACAAGAAAACGTCCACCGTAGCATCCTTCCCCCCCATAAAAAAAAGAAAACCAAAAGGCCGAGCTTGTTGGAGGTATAAGGACCAATAAGAAACATATAACTAAGGGACTAATCTTAAAACACGAAAGCTTTGGAACTTCGGGTTTTGTATAACAGTTTTCTATTTTAAGTAAAATAGATATGAGGGAACTTTTTTATCTGCTYTGCATAATGTATTATCATGTCACATCTGACTATCTGAGACTTAAATCTTGACCTCGTGCTTCCTCTCTGAGGCAGGGTTCAAAGAAGAAACAGAAGGGCCGATAATGTATTACTTGATGAAAACATGGCATCTGTGATCATATAGCAATCACAAATATACATAAAGTGACAAGTAGGAGCGACTACAAGTTAACGGTTCTCATAGATCTCAATCACAGTTGGTAAACGAAAATTCATGATGGAAGCAATCACAAATCTCACAATTGTGACTATAGCTCCAAGGGCATCCCTATAATAGAAGTCCATAACATCCAGATATTGGCAGCTAAGGTCTTTTTTCCTACCCAGTTTCTCATCAGAGAACAATGCTAGCAGATCAGAGAGTTCAACCACTTGAAAGGCTCCTAGCAATGGTTTAGATCGTCGACTGCCATTAACCATACATCCAGGCAAGGGGGGTCATAAGGGAGTTGGTCATTTAGAATTTTAGCTGAAGAGAGACAAATGTGCCAGTGAAGCAGGGACTTCCTTTGAGAAAAGAGACTATATCTCAGATTGAAACTTAAACCAAGTAGTAATGCCTAGATGAAAAACAGCAAAAACTACCAGACTCGATCTCTATTCAAGAAATATGCTCACTACCTCACTTCAAGAGGATAGAAGATCATCATGCTAACTGAAAGGCAAAAAACTTCTTGTGATGATTAGATTGCCACTACAAAGTCTAATGATCCTTCTACTAATACGGTATGTCCAGATCTCCCCTAAAYATCAGCTTTCAAATGTCAACATTCCCATTATTTTGTGCCCCTTGCTTCAAGACATAGCAATTTAATCCAATGAATACTATCATCCAATGGAGGTTTACTTTCCAATTCTTTTGTAACAGTCAGTTACTACCAGATCAAAGGTYATCCACTTTTACACCCAACTTTCATGTTAAAAGCATGGAGAACTCACAATCTGCTACAAGGAACCAATCTCCAAATACTTCCACAGAAGTRCTAATAAATCAAGAAGAAAGCAAGGAATTCCAGAAAGGAGCATCTCAACAAATAATACTTTTTCAGTAACCAACCTATTAATCATGTCTTSAGCCTCATTTGACATCTCATTCGGAATAGAAGGCCATGGGATTTTCGCATTAAGAATGTTGTAGAATATTTTCTGCAATTCCAAGCAAGTGTTAGCATCAAAAGCAATAATGACTCCATACACATGTATCTTCCAATAATGATTTCATACATGAACCATGCAAATGACGGCAACAGAATATGCAAGAAACCAAATACGAAAACTAGCAGTTAGCACCAAACATGAGTAACCAGACAATGGGATGGCAAGTGTATAATCTCGTAATGAGTTAAAATAAAWATCATGCAGACGGCAGCTATGGACTATTGCATGACGACGATAAACATGCCAGGAACCAAATCCAACCACGAACTGTTACCATAAAGAATCACAGATAGGAGTTGAGAAGGCCAACCCTCCCTAACCTGGAGATGGATAATGGTAAAAGTTGATTCATACAGAGAAGTATTTAGTTCTCAAGCTACATATAGAAAGCACTTTGTCACATCCACCTCAGTCTAGTATACTTGACAACTAAAATAGTTTCTCCCTAAAACGTACACTTTTACCCACCATCCAGCAGTTCAATAAATCCATTAATCTCCTCCCTTGCTCTCTCTCTCTCTCTCTCTCTCTCTCTGCTCTGCCACCTCCCCCTTAGAGACACAGTTATGCTCCCATCACTATTGGTACCCACCCATGATCTAATTTATAACTATCTCCAACATTAATTTCTTCTATGGTCTGTTACCACCTCACTCACTGCTCAATCAAGCATATTCCAAGCAACAGTATATCAACAGCATGCACATTCACTGCAATAAGTTTCACTATGCCTTTTTTCTCTCTAAAAGAATAGAATATTAGAAGTTACAACACTGAAGATTGTAGTTGTAAATTATGCATGCACAACACAGTTGATTAACCCTAASTGCTATATTTGAGATGTCTAAACTGAATTTAATACCTCTGGATGGTCTGAGTTGAAAGGTGGGRTTCCAGTAATTAGTTCGAACAGAATAACTCCAACTGACCACCAGTCAGCAGCATAACCTGCAGCAATGCTCATGACGCAACTCGCAAGTCAGCTTATCAGTTATAGGAGGATTTTCAGCTAAATCAGTGAAATACATTATGCCTTCTAACCATGCTCAGTTCCAAGAAGTATTTCTGGGGCCAAATAGTCTGGTGTCCCAACAGCTGAACGCTCCCTCCTATCTATGCTCCACTCATTTTCAAGGCAATGACCATTTGAAACTATAACCTCATTTGACTCAGGTCTAGTTAAATCACCCGTGCTGTTCATAAGGCCAATTTTAGACAGCCCAAAATCTGTAAGCTGATAAAACAGAAGATCATTAAAAAACCATCAAACGTACWTTATACAGTAAAGAAGTGGATGATTTCTCTAACCATCTACTCSCCGTTTCTTTTCAAACTAACCATGGTACTTGTTGTAAGTATTTATAACCATCGTATTTGTTGTTTCRTGGTAAAAATACTATTGGACATTACCTAAAAGCACTCACATAGGCATACTTCAACGATTTTTTGCATTTCAGCAAGTACACAGGTAATTTACAACAAAATTACAAGTACAATGGCTAAAAGRATAATCAACGCGATGGTAAATAGTACTATCTCAGTCACAATTAGTAACAAGTAAATCATCATTTGTGTGTTTATAAAGGTCTCTAAATTTTTGGGGGATAAACACCAATCATAAGGTCTGAGACGACCCAGAAAGCAATTGATCATTCAAGATCTATTTTATAAGCCTACTTGGTATTGAGTATTTATTGTAAGAAMTGAATTTTTGCATTAGATAGTCTCAGCTACAGAAAAAAGGATAGCAACAACCTCCATTTTGGGTTGACCATGGAACATTTYCATTTTTAGAAAATTCTCAAATTAAAATAATCTATTTGTCATCACAAAAGTTAATCATATCRATCCGGGTTCACAAGATCCTCACATTTTGTCATTACTAGACATTTTGCAGATAGTCAAAAGAAAATGAAAAAAATTATGTCTGCTTTTCCTGGGACMAAAGGAGCATACAGATACACCTGATCAAAATAGATAAAAAAATATTAATTAAAGAACAAGCAGGAAAAGTACAACATCCACACTGTGAACTGGGTTTTGCACAGATGTTGAGTTGTACTTGCTTTTTTGAATAGCTCGAGTATGATCAAGTTCCASAAATGACCAATAATTGACTTAAACGTATGAAATGCGACCTACAACTCATAGAACTAGCGATTAAACTGAACTTTTATTGTATTCAGAAATAGAAGAAACTATTGGTTAAGTCAAACATTTAGCCATCTTAGAAAGCTTAGGATGATATACCAAGGAAGTCATKTGTAGCTGGAGAGCAACACTGCAGCATTTTCAATAAGCTGACTACTGATATAATAATAACCAACCAAATACCAAAGCAAACAACAAAAAGTAAGTGTAGGGAATCAATTCCAACATATAAAAACAGAGCGTAATTAGTTGAAGATACCCCTAGGTTRGCCTGAAGGAGAATAAAACAACCAAAATTATAATACAACACACCTTGATATGCCCATCATGTGCAATCAATATGTTGTCGGGTTTAAGATCTCGATGAACAATTCCTAGAGAATGAAGGTATTCAAGAGCAAGAACCTACAATATGCAAATAAGTATGATGATAAAATATTTAAAACTTCTAAAGAGCCCAGAAACAAACTTTTTGACAAACCAGTTCTGCAATGTAAATGCGTGCAACATCCTCCCCAATGCAGCTGACATTTCTTAGCAAAGAGAATAGATCACCTCCATTGAGATACTCCATGACTAAATAAAGGTTGTCTCTACTAGTAAATGAATAGAAAAAACGAACCTGCAGCAGAGAAACAGTCATGTCAAAGATTATTAAAACAATAATATGTCAACACAAAAGTTGCAGCTCTTCTTAACAAACACACAGAAGATCTTCAGTAGCTGAAACAAAAACCTAATTAGGTATTGRTCGTCACACTAACTATAAGAAAATCAATTGGTGGAAAGCATCTAAAATGATTCATCTTGTTAGTAGATAACCAGCAAGTGAACAATGCACAACCAAATATGCCAACTGATATACAAAGGAAAAACATACAAGATGGGGCAATTTTCCGGGATTTATATTTGCTTGAAAGAAAAACTAATACAGCAAAAGAAAACAGAATGCAGGTTACTTCTCTACTCTAAACTGAAAAGAAACTCCTACTTATACTTGAAAGGAGAACCGGAAATTAAGCCAYGCTACCCCCACTTACTCCTAATAATCAGTCAACCAAATTTTCCCACTACTTTCTCCAATAAACTCGGTCAAACCAGAGACTAAATCAGAATTAATTTCAACACTCTCCCCTTTATTTCTGATTTTTTTTGTCTCCCATATCTTCAACACCCGATATCTTCAACACCGAACAGGTTCTGCATTTCTGTGAATTTCACTTGTGGGAGTGCCTTGGTCAAAATATCCGCCCTYTGTGCCTCTCCACTTACATGTTCTACGTAAATCAGCCCCTTCTCAACACATTCTCGAATGAAATGATACCGGGTGTTAATGTGTTTGCTCCTTCCATGGAACACCGGGKTTTTCATCAGCTCAATTGCGAATTTGTTGTCTACCAGAAGCTTCACACAACCTACTTCAGAACCTATCAGATACCTCAACAAGCTTTGTAGCCACAAAGCTTGAGATGCCGCTGATGTTGCCGCCATGAACTCGGCCTCGTAGGACGACAGGGCTACCGTTTGCTGTTTTTGAGAACACCATATTGTAGCTGCCATGTCTACCAATATACCAAAATCTCAACTATCAGATGCATATAAACCCTGTGCACTTGCTGTTTAACCAAAACCCCCATAAAGAACATTCAATTCATAAAGTTGAGTATCCAAAGTCAATAACAACTCTAGATCATCAAAGGATACTACATTATGGATTCAAAAGCAAGGTACAACAAAGGGAGTAGYAGATTACCACAAATGGGTTCCGTACTGTGATCAATATGTTACGTTCAGCAACTATCCTCTCGATGTCATTTTTTCGTAGCATGTCCATTTTCTTGAGCATCTGTGTAAGAAATTGGCTAATCATCCAAGAATCGGGAACAACTTGGGTGTTACAAAAATGAGAAGATAAACAAAAACATCTTAGTTTGAAAAATAAGATATTACAAACTGATTCTCACACAAGTTAAACTGCTCATAAGAAAATACCAACATTAGAAATCTAGAGCTGCTCAAAATTCTTATTTATCATCAAAGAGTGATGGATGTATGCATCATCACCTATGACCTACCTTAAATCTTAAAAGAGAATATTATTAGTCCAATATATTAGARGTTTCAGACTCATAGAAATTCCCATCTTGTCAAAACTGAAAAGTGCCATCATTTATTTTTTATGTTTATACTTCTGGATTTGATCCAGGTGTTCACTTGCTTTCGTTTTACCCTTTTACCAAAGCACCCTGCAGTACTAGTCTTTCTTTTTTGTTTTTTTAAGCATTCAATATTATGACCAGACAATTATTTTACACCTTCCTTGGTGGAARTGTCTAGCTCCACCACCATTAATTACAAGGTTGGTTCCAATTAGTGTTCTGCAATGTACTCTCTATTCACAGCCTCTTATGTAATGAGACAGCTGGATAACTCAAGAACTATCACATACTCTAGAGCATGTTATTCTAGATGTGTTTGGTGTGGACTAGGTTGACCACATTATCTGAAACCGGTCGTTTTCTTTATTGAATGAAAAAGAAATTACAAAAACTCTCTCAATGTCCTAATCGACTCTCATGTGAACTAATTCTGTGAATCATTCTCTCAAACGTTCTAATTGCCTTGGAGGAAATATTCTTTTATAGGCGTTTCCAAATAAGGAATCTTCTAGAAAMAGTATCTTTGCTAAATCAATGCGTCAACCAATCTGCTGCCTCCACGTGTCTGATTGCAATAAACGTTTMTGAATACATGTCGGACATAGACCGGAACGCTTCTAAGATGAGTCGTGGAACCTTCACACAGACGGGCTAAGTAGGAGACCCAGAGGCTCTGTGTCTGGGAGTGGAGCTCTGTATCCAAGTACTTGGTTATTTGCGCAAGACCTCGGTCTTCTTGCCCTCTATGTCCGAGCTCTTGGTTCCAGGCAACTTTCATCTTCAGACTTCGTCTTCATATTTGACACTTAGAGCGCTGAAGTCTTTAATTCCAGAGATCCGAAGATAGTCTTTCAGAGCAGTGTTCAACCAGAGGGGCTTTGGTTGTAATAACACTTAGTGTCCAGAGCATAGACCATCCAAAGCCCAGAGTGGCTCTGGTCCTTAGAACTTAATGTCCAGAGCCAAAGGACTTAGTGTCCAGAGGGGCTCTGGTYAGTCAATTTAGCAATTCAGATCTCTAAATTTTCCATCCTTAGCCCGAATTGCTTTAATAAAACTTTYAGATTATTTAGGACAATTTTGGTCCCAACAATCTCCCCCCAAAGTTTTATAAAACAAGCATCATCTCTGAAGCCTTCAGATCTTCTCCCCCTGCTTTCTTTTAGAAAAATTTGGCGTGCCCGGTATTGATGAAGTCTTCAAGCTCCCCCCCTGAATATAGCTCTTTTTCTTCAGTTTCAACTTTAAGATCAGATTCAATGTGAATGCAACACCACCAATTGCACAAAATGTAGCTTTATCTGTAGAAAACTCAACACAAACTTTGAACCTCAGAATTAACACTTGACCCCACAAGCAGCTAATTCATCCAACTATGGGATAGATAAATGTGTGAGTTTCGTGACATTTCAGTGCAAACAGTCTTRTGACAAAKAATCTTTCYGTGAACCACGAGTTGAATAAGCATACAGCTTAAGAGCCCGATCCAATGGGGTATCAACATCARCTTGAATAACCAAAGCAAACACCTTGGAGAGAAGAAACATCATTAAGCCGATTTCCTTTAAACTTTCAGCAGACTGAATAATCAAAATCAKATCCAAATTTCCCAGCCAGAAGAGTGATTATTAGCACTCAGAACCCTAGATCACAACCATAACTTTAGAGCAATGATTCTAGACTTTCAAACCTCTAATTGATCAGGTTAGAAGAATGACTGAGAACACTCAAAGATCTAACTAYTCCAGAACTTCCAGAACATTGATTGCAAACCTTCAAGACCTCTGATTGATTAGGTCAAAAGAAATGARTGAAAGCACTCAATGGTCTAGCCTCTTGTAGAAAACTCCAGAGTAACGATTGCATATGCTCAAACTCTGACTAGTCCAATCAAATACAAAAATCAATTAAACAGTTCCAAGATCTTTTTAAATCCGGCTTTAATCATTAACCTCAAACATTGACAATAATGTCGTTGATGCTTCTCATGCCAGATCTTGATGAAAAATCATCTTTATTCATTAAGCACMGTTGATTTTAGGCAAGGAATTATTTAAACGCACACAGATCCACAATGAGAGACGATGAACAAGTACTCATGAGATGGGCGATGAGCATAGATTTGGCAACARATCTCCCATGCCTTAGGTAGAGAGSACCATGAACTCCTGTTTATCGCTCACGCCTTGGGCGATGAGTATAGATCTGACAGTCTCAAAGTCCAGYAAGTTCGATTGTACCCAAAAATTCATCAAATAAACCTATTTTGAAACCTAATTTTGAAGACAAAATAGGTTCGTATTCACCCAAAAACAAATCCTTTAAAAAGAATTCGATTAAAACATAAAAAATATGGTGAATCGATCAATTTTGRTCCAAACAACAGTTGAACAGGAAGCATTTCAAAGATGAGTACTGTTCTTAAAAAAAAATATTGAATCTGCTGCAGATTTATAGATTGTATAAGATAAAAGTTAATCGATTTGGCTCTGATACCAATTGTTGGACCCAGATCTAACAGCAGAACAAGGTTAAGGCATTGAAAACGAGAGATTATAGAAGATGATGGATAGAAACCGGCCGTTTTCTTTATTGAATGAAAAGGAAATTACAAAACTCTCTCAATAACCTAATCGACTCTCATGTGAATTAATTATGTGAATCATTCTCTCAATCGTTCTGATTGCCTTAGAGAAATATCCTTTTGTAGGCGTTTCCAAATAAGGAATCTTCTAGAAATAGTATCTTTGCTAAATCAACGCGTCAACCAATCTGCTGCCTCCAYGTGTCTGATTGCAATAACGTTTCTGAATACGTGTCGGACAAAGACTGGAACGCTTGTAAGATGAGCCGTGGAACCTTCACACTACCCGCACTTAAAAGYCGAGTACTCTATCGTTGAGTTAGCAACCCAAATAGAAAAAGGGTATGTAGATACAATTAGAATAAATAAAACAAAATGATTAAATCAAAGCATTAAACTAAGAAAAAAAAATTCTAATCTATTTGGAACAAAAAAATGACTAAATCGGATGAACAAATGTAAAAATTTCCTTTGAGCGAAATGCGGCAAAAGGAAGGAAAATCCATGGACCGACCCCATCATCTCCACCCCGTAAGAACTACGAGATTACCCCCAAGGACGCCTTCGGCATCCAGGGGTCACGGACCGGCCATAGAACCCTGTTCAACTCAAAGGTAGGGCATTTCCCATTTTTATAGAAACTTCTGTACCAGAAACAATGGTATCTCCAATTATAGTCGCATTTTGGTTTTTGTGACCATCTAATAGAGTCGGTATCTATATATTCATCGAAGGATGTATCTTTCATTAAAAGGTTGTGATAAGAAACGCTCAATTTTTCAGACGGGCAAAGTAGGAGACCCAGAGGCTCTGCATGTATWATGCAAAGACTTTGTGTCTGGGAGTGGAGCTCTGTATTGTGTGCAASACTTCGGACTTCTTGMCCTCTGTGTCCGAGCTCTGTACCCGAGCTCTTAGTTCCAGGYAACTTATCATCTTCAGACTTCGTCTTCATATTTGACACTTAGAGCGCTGAAGTCTTTGATCCCAGATATCTGAAGATAGTCTTTCAGAGCAGTGTTCAACCAGAGGGGCTTTGGTTGTATTGACACTAGAGCATAGACCATCCAGAGGGGCTCTGGTCCTAAGGACTTAGTGTCCAGAACCAAAGGACTTAGTATCCAGAGGGGCTTTGGTCGTCCAGAGGAGCTCTCGTCCAGGAGGAGCTCTCGTCCAGAGGAGCTCTCGTCCAGAGGAGCTCTGGTTGCTCTTCCAGACTTGGTTGATTTAGCAGTGCAGATCTTTGAATCTTCCATCCTTAGCCCGAATTGCTTTAATAAAACTTTCAGATTATTTAGGATAATTTTGGTCCTAGCACGTTATATATAAAAGACCGGAGATGTGACCTAAGAACTGAGTTACTACCACATCCATTTACCTTCATACAAGATACATACACATGCATGAGCAAACTCATTTTAAACAAATACATATTTCAACATTTCAAGAGGTATACAAATTTCAAGAAAAAAATTATGGAACAACTGGTTATACCTTTATAGCAAATAAATCCCCGGTTGTTCGTTTTCGTGCAAGAAATACTTTACCATAAGCTCCTCTGCTGATTGGTTTAATAATCTCAAAATCTTCAATGCTTGTTCGCTCTTTATGTAGAGGATGTGAAGGAGTTGAGACTGAACTGCTCTGAGATGCAGTATCCAACAAAAAAGGATACCCAACATCACTTGATCTTTTATTGGCATCCTCTAATTCACAGGAAATTATGTATTTCTCTCTGCATGCATATAAGAAAATGTAAGGATAAAAGCATGGTCATGGAAAAAACAGATGCATATATATATTTATTTCCCCAAGATTACCGAATGAGTTTTTCAATTCGGTGCCCAAATGTATCTATAACAAGAGCTTTGAGCTTGCTGTGCTGTAAAATATCCTGCAAGTCTTGCAAGCAAGTAAGCAAGACCTCATGTGCACTTTCTTCCATAAGATCTGTCTCGGCTGCAGAACGAGCAATGTCCCTAAGGTCAGTCATCTGCAGAGGAAGAAAAAGAAACTCTAAGAACATGTATTACAAAATTACGCCTGGCCACACATGAAGCATACAAATTGCTCTTTTTCCCTGTTACTCATATCAAGACAATACCATATGCATTCTACTGCCCATGTGCTGAAGACTAAAGTATGTATTTACACAATACCACCATGGGGTACGTCATTGTGATTATMCTCTTTGGATCCTGATCACCACAAGAAACATACCAACTGCCTGGGCACAAGTTGCTGGTCTCTCAATCAACTTATCATTTAAATATACATGGGAAATATTCACCATAGCATRTATAGCACATAAAAAACAAGCTTCCTATTTTCTTTCATAAGAATCAGKCATTGTCATATAGGTTGCACTGGAACTTTGGACACTTCCTAAGATGTCATCTTCCTCCGATCTTCCCACACCAAGTAAGCAACCAACCATTTTTTGCTCTTACYTCGGGACGGGTTGATAAGGCAATAAATGAACTTAGCCAATTAGTTGTTCATTTTCATCTTATTAAATGATGAATAGTTGTTCATGAGGCATCAAGTTTAGGATACTGCTAGTAGTTTACACCCATGAAGCACCAAYATGGTTGACAGGTAGCATTATGTAGGTACATTATGATACTAGGGCCAAGGATCAACAAATTCTGAAATTGATATGGAAGATGTTGAGAACAAATGGATATATTAGGTATTCTCGCAGATGTACATTCCTTGATTCCAAAATAGGCAAGTTTACACACATTTAAGGAACAGTTAAAAAGCAACAAAGAAGGTATGTCACTCTTACTACATTGATTTTATACCCTCACGGTGAGCCTAGCATTAAAACCAAAATAAAAAAAAGATCAAATTGGAAATGCAAAGATACTACATTAATCTAGAGTTAACGGACACCTACGAGAGTATACAGATTACCGAAGAGTTGCATTTCAGAACAGCTGCATTGTATTATTAGATTACTTGAAGAAGATTAGAAAGAACCTATGTTAATACTTTGTAGATTTGGGATGTCAAGTACTGCTTCAGATTTTAGGTTGCAACATAATTTCTATAGCTTCAAATAAACCAAACCAAGCCAATCCAGTAAATCCCACACCGAGCAGTCTGGAGAGGGTAGGATGTATGCAGACCTTACCTCTACACCCGGAGTGGAGATTTCCATGAAMACCCCAGGCTTGTAAAATGATTTTGAGAAATTTAAATAACCTTGGATTATTACTTCTCCATTTGATTGGGTTTTCTACACAGAATTTAGATGAATACATCTGGGTGCATATCCATTTAAGAATGGACCTTTAACCTATTTCCWATCTTCTATATATTTCTTTCAATGGTGGATTACAAGATTTACCTAGTTCTAGCAGATCTAGAGTTTGCTATGATGTTGTAAGTTAGTCATCCYCATCGTCTTATCTAATGATCACTACTTTAGCTTGTGTGAGCTGYCCCCGCAATGATAACTACTTGCACTATTGTTCTAAATCACTTTTCATATTCTCATCACCTTACTCTCTATCCTCGTGCGTCATTATGCAAACCTACTTGCAAGTAGTGAAGACATGAAGGTATAGCATTGCACACATAATAAACATAACATACCGGTCTGTTGAGAAAGTGTTTCCCCTAAGTACCAATCAACTCAAAATGTTTGCCAAGAAGATATAAGTCAACTATTTATATGATGAAATTTAACACTGACCAACAAAAGTGAATGGCATACCTGTTGCACATCCTCTAACTCAGAAGGATCGTTATGCTCTAACCAGAAGAAGTCAAAATTTGCAGCTCTTGGAGTATTAGTGGAGGAGGCTGATGTCATGCTTCCTGTTGAGGAAGGCGGACCATATTGACTTAACTTCACACCAGGGAAGCCCTTGAGATTTACAAAGCTAGCAGGAGTTGAGTCTTCAATGCATGCAGTGTCCATTTCATGAAGATCCTCAAACATTCCTTCGACACCTTTATTTCGCCACTCGCTTATTTTGGGAGAGCAACCATCAAAAGTTGAAGCAGCGTTAGAAATCTGCATCTGTGAATTTTGAGGGCTATCATCTGCAGCATGTACACTTAGAGTGCAGGACTCRATGATTTGGTCAAGTATCTCTGCAAGTCCCAATAGGCTTTCATTTACATCTGAACCTTTTATATCACATTTTTCTGCGTAAGCACATATATAAGAATGAGACTCCAAATGAGAAGTTGGGACAGACTCCTCACATATCCGACAAATTACTAAATCGTTGTTGCTCGAATTCATTTCTAGCTCTCGAGTTTGCTGTATGTTTGGGAGAACATCAACTTGGGAATCTTCAAAATGTGGCCATCTCTCAGTAACCAAGACATGGTTTTCTACTGTCGAATCACTTATGTCAACTGGTAYCTCAGACCTACAAGAAGATTCTTGAGGCATAATGGATTCCTCCTTTTGTACAAGCAATTTTTGTTCAGTGTCAAACTTATTGTTTAAAGCATCACCTGAATTGGATTCAACAATCCCTAAATTTAGGAGCCAGCTCATTTCGTAAGAAGGAATTTTTTCCAAACATTCTTTCAGTTTAAGAAGGGAGATCTCATCAATATGCTCACTGTGCTTCTCATAATGCAACAATCTGGTGCAACGAGTCAAAATAAAAAGCATCCGTGTAAAAAGCCATTTCAATGGCCCTGTATGGCAATCCTGCCTCTTCCTCGTTAAATCTTGAACAATGGTCTCACATTTGGTGCGAAACTCATGGCAGGACATCTCTATACATCCTGCAGCAAGAACGAGAAGCTCCTCAACTGACCTCCGTTCTTCCAAAGACAATGTATCAGACTTCTGTGATACCTCAATCACCTCCGCTTTGAAACAAGCTAGTTCTGTGTTCACCAACTCTTTTGCAGCATTAAAACTTGAACGCAGTGACCTCAAAAGTTCCTGAATGYGGACTTATCAGTACCCAAAATCCACACAAAAAAACATACAAGAATATCATAAGAAGTAAATCATTTGTTCCAAAGAATATATTGTTAATCAAACAATGGTTAGCAGCCTCAAAACAATAAATTTTTGGTTGACCTTTTATTAAATTGATAATATTGGTTACTTTAATGACATCAAAAGCAACTAGACTATACCTTCAAATCGCTAAAGCTATGAGCTCGAGTATATGAAGGTCTAATGCCACCTTTCGGCCCGAGTTCATGCGAAAAGCTTTTCTGCACTTCCGGCATTTTATCAACACATAGATTTCCTGCTTCAGGTTGCTTTCCAAATGTGGCTCTTCCTACCTTCTGTTGTTTACCTGAAAGAGCTTCCTTGTCAAATGCCTTGACTTCAGCATTTCTTTTCTGCCACATTTTAGATTAATGATTCAATAGTTGAAATTTCCAAGATGGAATGTATCATCTAAATGAGTAACACTATATTWTTGAATATATAACATTCATATATGGCAAGTTAAACTCACACACAAAAATGAGTCACACTTATCTGATCATGCTATATGAAGTCTCACCTCAGCTTCAGGGGGTTTATCTCTGATACCTCTATCAGAATCCTTGGAAAGATGAGATGTGAACCACTGGGCTATTTTTTTCCCTTTACGGAGTCCTGGCACATACAATCAGAAGATGCTCTTTTAGATATTCTAARCTGTTTTTCAGAATAAGTAATAAACATATGTTGATAATCTAAACTCGTGGTGCTACTGAAAGCTATAATCTTCRATCATAATGTCCAAAAGGCTAACATTTTACTCTTTCTATTCCCTTCCTTTTGTCCTCTTTAAAGATGTTCTTAATGAATGCTACATTTTCATGGTTTTTGGTGAGAACACGGTAATTATCTCCTTTGTCCCTCAATGGTTGCATTTTTTTGCTTTCCCATAGGTCGATATATAACTTAAGTCAGTAATGAATAGTTGATCAAAAGATAAAAATATTATACCAGATAAATTCGCCGGCATAGCTACAACATAAGAAGCACTATGAACCATGCAATAACATGGCAAAAAATTGAACTAGTGGGTCTAATATAATGTCATTTAACGGTAGATTGTAAACCCTGGAATAATATATTCACATATAATGCAACTACTTTGAGGATTATCCGGAATGATGAATATCACAAGTAATTGCAACTTCTTGTAACACTAYAATAGGAGACGAACAGAAATATCCCACCCTTATGACTGATGCTTTTAATTGTTCAAAGCTGGTGTGAGGAACAAAAATCTGTTGCATATGCATCAGTTAACGATAGATAGTAAACCCTGGAATAATATATTCATGTGTAATGAAATAATGACTACTTTGAGGATTAACCGAAATGATGAATATTACAAGTATTCGTAACTCCTTGTAACACTTGAATAAGAGACCGACAAAAATATCCCACCCTTTATGATGGATGCTTTTAATTGTTCAAAGCTRGTGTGAGGAACACAAATCTTCTGCATATGCATCAATTACTGAAGGCCCATAAAAGAGCTGCACTGGAGGGATGGGAGCTGGAGGATTCATGTTTCATGGGAATTCGCATGCAAGGAGCCAAGGATAATCAAGTATTGAAACTACTCTCCTTTTAATTTCAAATTATATGTTCTATCTTGAAAGTCAAACCCCTGGATAAAATCTTACCTCCAGTCATTGGCATAGCCGGTGATCCGGAGGAACCCCCTCCCCTTCTCCACAGTTCATCCTCCAATCTCAATTCTACATACCAAATCTGATCTTCTATGGCAATCAGCCAATCACTCACTATTTCCTACTTGATTCATGTTCCCTAGAAATAACTTCGTCGGTCTAGTAAAGCACATGGATGGCATTGAAGGTAGGTACTATATCTTCAAAAACAGGCCCCAATACCCTTGACTTCATCATCGATCTATCAAATCCGGTTCTCTGCCTCATTCATCACTATTCGTTTGGTTCATGACTTACCAATTTTCACCAACTCACCACCTATGTCAATAATCTCCTTGGGTAACCCGTCCTAGATCAGAAATCTTGCCCTACACTCAACCCTCTTTGACTCCGGCATCCTGTTCCATATGGCTTCCTCTTCATTCACTGCCTTGTTCATAGAGCTTCAAKCTTGTGCTTTCAGATATGGTCTGGCAACAATGTTAGCATCTCATACAGATCTCAAGTGGTTGGGTTTTACCTTCAGCTTCCCAGGCTTCATACGGCACCAGATTAAAGGTGGATTTTAGGAATTCTATTCATTTCAGTTTCTCTGCATTTGATTCAACTGCTCTGTACTTTGCTGGCGAAGCATCATCTGTGATTATGCCCGTTCATTCTGCATGATCTTTGCTCTAAATCAGTAGACCATGGTGTCATTCCTCTGTGTTTTGGTAGATTACCATGTTCAAAATTTGGSCACCTGTTCTGTGGTTCTTGGTGGTCTGTTTCTACTGCATATGTCTGATCCACACTACTTGGTACTTGCATACGTCTCTTGAACACGAGTYCTAAGCTTCTGAAGAAATTGGCTCGATTTTCAGCTCATCAGCATCTCTCACTGTTTTACCTATCCACTAATTTGGTTCTGATCATTTATCTAGATTTGGGGCCTTCATCTCGCTACGACAAGTTTTCTTCAACCCTCTTGTGCTGTAATCTTTGCAATACTTGATYCTTTTGGATTATGCAGTGGATCCCTATTCGAATGAGTGTTTCACTTGACTTGGGATCTTTGAAGCAAGATCAKCATATTGTAACTTTATCTTCAGCTTCCACTGGAGCTATACTTCAATGACAATACAACACACTTTTCCTTTTAAAAGAAGTGCCAAGCAAGATCATTCTTCAGTTTTTCTGTGAAATCCATTTTACAAGTCCAATTGCAACAAGGATTCAAGAAGTCAAGGAAGTTGTTCAAGATCATTGCGATCGAAGGGTGGAGTCAATTAGTTATTAATTAATGGATAGTTGAACTTCATCGTATTTCTCATTTAAAGGCAACTTGTGTTCCTTTCAAACCTTTTATGGCACTTGTATCTCAATCGTGGATTTCTTTCAGATCCCTATCAATAAGACTCAATTTTTTGCAAAAAAAAGAAGTAAGCATGAAAACAGCAACAGAAGTTAAGCAATGTAACATGAAGACGGTCAAAGCATGCAAATAGCAACAGAAGTTAACAATCTAACACTGGGCTGTTTGGCAGTTGCTGAATGATCTGGTGCAGAATGATTAAGCGGTCAGAATGATTAAGAGGCTCTTATGATATAGTGCAAAATGAAATATAATTGTTTACAATGAAATTAAGGCRCTGAATAGTTAAGGGTGGCCCARAATACAAAATCATTCAGAKGGTTTTAGAACCATTAAGAGACGGACTTTTTTGTTTACCAAACAAGATTYACCTCTTAACAATTCAGAGGTTGCCTCTTAATGGAACTATTAAGAGGTAAACAAACAAGTTATATATAATAAGAGATCCTAACTTACAATAATTARATATTACCTGTTTAAACTTATGCCATCAATGATGGTAGATAATATAAAGCTATAAGCCTTACATTCTATACCATTAGTTGGTTATCCATATAAACCATCATTGTCTGAAGATTCTAATGACARCCCTTTTTGTACTTCCTCTATCTCATCAGAATTCTAAAATTTCTTTGTTAAATTACTTGCTTRTCCATAAACATCATCATAATGTGTTGACGATGGCTGTTTTTTGCGCCACAAGATTCCTTGGGAGGACAACCACAAGTTCAGCTACACTATGTTTTAGAATCAAATGCCACAATTATAGATATTCTGGAAAACTAGATACCAGCATTATTTCACAGATAACAAATTAAATACCCCTTCGTAACTGCATCAGTTGGTTTTCACAAACAGTAACAGGAACTTTAATCCCCTACATTGGCCACATAAGATGAGGCCCATATTTCATGTGTCAAGCCAATCTACAAAACTGAACCACTTTTTTGGCTTTTTTTGGAACTAAGAAACTATACCAAGGTAATTACATAATCATGCCCTCCACCATCAACAGCAACGCGCAAGCTAATATTCATATTTAATTCCATGATATTAGAAAATTRGTGAAGTTTAGATAAGAGAATCAGTTTAACAATTGCATTTAGCATTCTTATCGGCATGGGCAGACAAGTCTGCACAAGGGCACTCAAACCCTCCTAAATTTTTATACTACTTTTGTGCATATACACATACATAGACACACGCACACATAGAWAAACACAAAATTTTAAATACAATTCTAGAATTCATATACTCTCTAGGTTCACTATTTTGCAATACAACTCTTGCCTCTAAGTTCACTTTCAGACTTTATATAGCGGTCTTGAGGTGTATGTCTCTTTAACTAGCTTTATCCAACTGACTGAGACACCAAGTAGCACTTTCAAATTTAGGTAGAATCTGATCACCGAATTTGAAGATGTGAATTCTTATGCCCTTCACATGATATTTATTATACTCTCGTCAAACCGGGAACTTTTTAAGGGTTAGAATTTGTTTCCTTTTAATATCTCTAGTTTACTATTTAGATCAATTTAGGAACTTCAACGCCCACCTCATGGGAGCTATAGTTTCAATATGATTTTACCAGTGCGTGTACTTACGTATAACARTTACTCAACAAATTGCCACGAAGAAGGTGCTCATTTAAGTTGGTATTCTTTCTTCACTTCATGGATCTCTATCTCTCTCTCAATAGAAATGCAGCATTCATTATTACTTTTATTCCTCAAGCACAAATTATTCTAGTATTTTTCTTTAGTTCCTTACAAGTTCCCTCAACTTCATACTTTTGGCACAAACTAAAAAAGAACAATACTTCTTGAATAACCTAATTAGGGAATAAARGCATTGGTTAAAGAGATAATGATCTATAAGTTTCCTCAAAATTCCTGCTTTAATGCTCTCTGGCTTTCAATTGTTCAGCACCAAACCAAAGAGATGTTCTCATGACTATCAACAATGAAATAGTTATCAAAAGGTTTCAAGACTTGAAAACAGACTCAATGAATAAGATGCTCTGAGAATAAAGGCATTGGTTGAAAGAGGTGATACATAAATTTTCACAAAATTTAARCTTTTACTTGTTTAGTACCATATATTGAAAGAAATATCCTCATACTATTGGCAATAAAACAGTAAGAACAAGGTTTCAGGACATGAAATATTCAATAATGTTACTATGAAAATTAGAAGTTCATAAAATTAGATCTCATTACATCATAATTTTCTATTAAAACCTTAACCGCTTGACAGACATCCTAGATCTCCACTGCCTACCAAACAAACTTATACATCTGTCAACATAAGTTGCCCCTTAAGAGTACCCAGTTGAGAATGAAAGTTAATAACACAAATACGTTCGAGAGCCGACAATTTGTGGCGGATGTGTCATGTGTATCCACCTCAACTTATCAACCCAATACACACAACCTGCACTCCAATYTTGTGTTTTCATCATCATTAATCATTCCTATTTCAGGCATCCATATACTTGAGGATCGTTCCGAGGTGTCTGAGCAAAAATTCTTTTTTATGGGTTCTCTCATGCTGAGATCACGGATTACCATATCACACAACTTTGAATTATGTACGCGTTCAAATGTAGATGACAGACTCAATAACCACAATTGTCATCTTGATCAACAGTTATAATGAACCATTTGTTTGAAACTAATCAACTAGCTTATTGTTAACAAAATACAAAATGAGCCATTCTACTTRTAGAAAATTCTATATGTTTACAGGTATATACGGTATCTTGATTGGTTCGACAACGAATTAAATATATCAARCAATCGAGTACCACAAAAAGCTACCATTACTATAACTAGAAAAAGGAGAAAACGACAACCCCAACAACAACAACAACAAGTCAAAATAAAAATTCATATATGCTTGTGYGAAATGAAGAACGGTATGTATACCTTCTCTAGAGGAATGAAGCTTTACGAATCCCTTGGTAAAAGACCTCTGATGATTCTGCTTGAAACGACTGTTTATAGACTTACTATTGGAAGTGAGAACATGATGATGATGGTGATGATGATGATCGTTAGAAGTAGTAGTTATACGAGTCTTGATTCGATTTAAACCGGTGGGAATCCCCACCGCCTCCGACGATGTGGATGATTCACCGTCGTTTMGAGTCGTCCGGCCGGCCATCTCTATAAATCCACAACTGAATAATATTGTTATTCACATGAGAATCAGATAATCYAAGTAGGAACTGACATACCAAACTATCATATGGAAATGGAACCTAAAAGTGTGAAAGTTATGCTTGAAAGGGAGAGATAACGGTGGATGTATTCGATTTTCGTGGCTGCTGAAAGAGTCTGTCACGAAACAAGTCGACCATGGATGTAAGAAAGAATATGTCAAAATCTTAGATTTAATTTTGCACTCTACAAACATGGCAAGCGTATATAATCCATARACARTAAAAGTTACGGTGTGAAGCGTAAGATCTCCATTTTTAGATAAATCTTAATCGAATGTCAATATTAATAAGGTACATTAAGATGTACCGGATCTATTCCCTCTTAAAACCGTAATTTATGGATGAACATGAGATTAAAAGTGATCAAGRGTTCATATATTTTCTTACGCTTYTCAATAWAACTTTTGTTCTTACATGATCTTTCACCTACTTTGCAAATACTATGAACTCCCGTTTTTTATTGATGATTAGTTTGTTAAAGTATGAAAAAAGATCAATAAGGTTGTTAATTTTATTAAGCAGATAAATGATTGAATATATATAATTATTTATTTTATCCTACAAAATATTATAATGTTGAATTTATATAATTTTACACAATTTCATTTCGTTTATTTATATTATTGTTATGAAAATTACATCTAAATTATAAAACAAGCAATGGATTTTTAGCCAAAATAAATCATCGTCCATTTTTARCACATCCAGATCTTATTAAAATGCATCAACTAATTCAATACAATAATAAAAAATATGAACAAAATCATAAAGTCTCATAAATGATGAGACTCCTCTTAATGATTCAAAGTCGACCATGTATATTATTTATAAATGGTATAAAGATTATCTTTTARTGCGTGTTTATATTGGATATATATGATGACATTAAAGAAGGGATGATAGTGGTTTTCATTTGAAAAAGTCTTAAAGTATTTTGATGTGTATATRATGATGAAAATGACATGTAATTATGATGTCAACGATGTTTATTAATATCGACATCATGTAAAGATGTATAAAATGTCTATATCATAACATAARTTGGTTTTGACATGAAGTTTGTGTCCAAAAGTACAAGTCCTTCAAAGATTGAACACGGGCATGGCCAGCCCTTCTAGACTAGTAGTCTCCATTTTCGGGTATTAACCAATTAAGTATTGATCTGAACGAAGAACAAAGTCGGTCATTTATTCAACTTTATTTACAAGTTGTTTTTAAAATGGGATGACTGGTTGTTGCTTCCGCAAAAACGAAAGTAGCTTTTTTATCATTTCTTCAAAATTATAAAAAAAAAAAAAAAAAAAAGTAGTAGCCCTTTTCAAGACTGCTACGAAACATTGGGCCTAAATCTATGCTAGTTTTCAACTTAAGGCAATTTTTGAGCATATCTAGACTCTACTGTCATGTGTTTACGTGAAATCAACAATCAACATCTCTTTTAGTTCAAGACTGCTACGAAACATTGGGCCTAAATCTATGCTAGTTTTCAACTTAAGGCAATTTTTGAGCATATCTAGACTCTACTGTCATGTGTTTACGTGAAATCAACAATCAACATCTCTTTTAGTTCAAGACTGCTACGAACCATTGGGCCCGAATCTATGCTAGTTTTCACCTTAAGGACTAGTTCTTAGAGGTATATGTCAAACTTCTTTTAGTTTATTGGACTAGGCCTAAGGCAATCTTTGAGCATATCTAGACWCTACTGTCATGTGTTTATGTGAAGTCAACAATCAGTATCCCACCTGGACAAAATGGTGAATTTCTATGTTCTGTGGAGTATATGGAAGGAGAGCAACCAACAAGTCTAGAAGAATATGTCAAACCCACGTGCCGTGGTTGTTAAGCTAGGAACAATAATGTTGATGGAGTGAGCTCAGGATAAGAAAGCGCATGAAAATCTAACTAAGGGTGCAACAACTATATAGTGCAATAAATGGCATCTTCTAGAGAAATGTGTTCTTGAATGCAATGGTGACACGACAACAAATGAMATCAGAGGTGGTTTCTTTCGGTTGCAAATCTTTCCAAAGAAACCAAGAATCATCATTTTCTTTTCTAGAAAATAACTTTTCAAAATGCATGATTATGTGATACTTGATTATGATAGCCTCTTCAACCCACTAGTGCCCGGTTGGTTTGAGCTTGACTCCAATGGTCATAAGTATCAGGAGGTCTCAGGTTCAAATCCAAGGAGRAATAAAAATCCCCTTGTGGCCACRGAGGTTCAAATGCGGTGACTCCGGACTATCTGCAAAGCAGGTGGTCGTCATGGGATTAGTCAGCTCGCGTGGCGGGTTGGATGTCTAGGTTAATCAGAAAAAATGATCAAGCCACTAAGGGAATTCCTATTCTTTCTTATTCCGACATGCAAGTCGAATATTTAGAATTTGGATCAACTTGCTTAGCCATATAATACATGAGGCTATTCTTTATATTATTCTTGATCTCAWGTCATTTATTTAGCAGCCTTTTTAACATAAATGTCCAATTCATGTAGTTGGAAAGTGTTGGTTGGACGTATATTTGYCTTAGTATTTGGTATTGGATCAATTATTATACATCAAATTTTATACATTGGGGGCATTTTCTATTTCGTGCCATGGGTCGACAACATTTAGATACATCAACCAGATATGAGTAGGCATGGCYCATGGAGGTGAAGATGGAGCTGCCAAAACATCCAAAATGGTTCGAAGACAAGGTTATTTAAGGGCGAAAGAATGTGAAGCATCAACCTCAGCAGAAGCTCTAACCGRGATTCATGATATGGGGTACAAACATGTCATCTTCGAATAGACTCCATGGTGGTTAGAAAGCAATCAATAAAGAGGAAGGAGACCACACCGTATCTGAAACTATCATGTAATACTGTCGTCACTTGTAATCTAAAACGTTGTACAAGGTCTGATGTATTAGAAGAGGTTAGTAAAGCAATCACAGTTTTATGCTTCGCCAACTACAAGCAAGGCCCCTCCTAGTTGGTTGGTTGATTGAATCTCTAGACACTACTTGATGTGGATCATTAAGAAGAATTTTATTTGGGCGAAATATGATTGGATGATTTTGAAAATATAATGACTAGATTAAAGATGCTATAAAGGTATATTGTTATCTATACTGTATTATAAAGCATTTGACAAAAACTCTTTAAAAACCATTTTTTATGCATGAAATATTGTTTATTGATACATATTACTTACAATTCAAGATTACAAATAAATTGTGCGTAAATATAACTTATTAAAGCTTCATGTTAGAATTCGTGTAACTAACTGCAGATAAACATAGTCAAATACAACATAAACTTTTCATTTTAAATATAAAAAATCTAAAATATAATTAGGATTATCATTAAATTCTAACAGAACATTTGATTATTATACTTATAAAAACTATATTATTAAATCAAGAATAAGTTATTTAATTATTAAATCTAAATTAAATTATAATAAAAAATTTGAATTAAAGAAAATTACACAAAAAACAAGAATTTTTAAATATTTAATTTAATACTAATATTGATATATTTACCTTCGAAATTTTATGATATCTTCAGATTTATATTTTATTCAAAAATAAAAACATTATCCCTTTTCTCAAAACTACATAAAATCATATTATAACATCTACAAAGATGAAATAAAACAAAACATTAAAATCAAAATATATGTCGTTACATYGCACGAATACCCTTCTMMTTTAACATAATTAATCCTTYTAAAATTTAATAATTTACCAATTAAAATTATATTATTAATATATGATCCTAACTTATCATTGAAGCCAAATGACCAATAAATTGCTTATGTGGTTACATAAAAACTAAAGGCTTCTAATTATATCTATAGGTGATAGTTTGACACATTTACATTATTGTTATGAATATCTCAAATACACCAGTTTGTATTATTATTTAACGTTTCAATATACACATGATATGCAACATTGCGTTTCAATAAGTCCATGTCTTAAAAATTGTGTCATGTGTTGAGGGAAATTTTGTTTTGACAACCGAACCTCAATGGTCTGATGTGGTATATAATAGATCTSTAATCAAAATTGCTACTGATTAGTTTATAAAATGAGAGAATGCGAGTAAATTACATTTTTCGGGTCTATGTGCTTACCATTCATTATAAACTCTAKTCCCTATCTTAAACTACCTACGCTTTAGTCATCATGGGTATCATTCTGTTTCACTTTTGACCCCTCTAACTAACTTTTGTTAAAAAAAAGCCAGTTAGCTAAGTGACTTTTTGATCTTTTTATTATTATTATCAAATTCAACTAAAAAGTTAAATACATTTACTATTACTACAACGGTACTCGCGCAATGCAACGAGATACATCTCGATTTTAATGTTTTATTTTATTCTTTGTCGCTATCGATGTTATAATACGATTTTATGTGTTTTTAAAAAAGCGATAACGATTTTATTTTTGAATAAAATATAAATTTGAAGATATCATAAAAATTTGATTTTTTTATATCAATGTTAGTATCAAATTGACTATTTAAAAGTTCTCATTTTTTTGTGTAATTTCTTTAATTTATTTTTTTATTATAATTTAATTTAAGTTTAATAACAATAATATAACATTTTATAAAGATAATAATTAAGTATTTCGTTAGAACTCAATGATTATCCTAATTATATTTTAGGTTTTTTATATTTAAATTGAGATGTTTATCATGTATTTGATTATGTTTATCTGCAGTTAATTACACGAATTCAAATATAGAGCTTTAATAAGTTGTACTTAAGCACAATCTACTTGTAATCTTAAGTTTTAAGTAACATGAATCAATAAACAGTACCTTATGCATAAAAAATAGTTTTTAAGAGTTTTTGTCAAATGTTTTATAATATAGCATAGATATTATACTAAGTATTGTTATTATTATACCATAATATATTGTTTTTATTGTTATTATATTATATTATAATAAATATTAATATTATATTATATTATATTTATAATATTACATACACAACGTTATAAAAACATACCAAACTCAAAAACATTCTCAACAACATTGACCATCTTCAACAACTCCTTTAAAGGGCTGTTTACCAAATTTTCTATTAAGTCCTGTATGGATAAATTTATCTGTCTGG